TTTTTATGCATAGTACCAAATGCATCAATAACGTAACTCAAATTTAGGGTGCATTGTAGATCTATCAAAATTGATACTTTTGCGTCCGGAGGCTTTCCCCCTTTTTAGCCATCAAATCACATGATTTATGTTGCACAAACTTTATTATTCAAAATAGCTAAAGGTAAATTTATGGGTAATTTACTGAATAGCTCAGGTAATTTACCAAAAAATTTTAAAATTACGGTAATTTAACAACCCTGTTTGGTTCATTAATTGGGTTCATAAATGTACAGTACTAATCAATTTTTTTGATTGGACCGAATATTTAAAATTACATAAATTCTATAAATTCTCATATTTTGTTTCAGCAGTAAAGAATCCCAATAGAATTTTATTGATTTGGTTCATTAACTGGGTTCATAAATGTACTAAACAATTTTTTTGATTGGACCGAATATTTAAAGTTACATAAATTCTATAAATTCTCATATTTAGTTTCAGCAGTTTCAGCAGTAAAGAATCTTATAGTATTTATCTTGTTAAGCTAGAACCTTTATAGGTGTGTGGAATGATTCTCACTTCATCACATTTTGGTTAAGAAAATGGTTATCATAACAATCATGTTTTTTAAAATCATGTTTTAAATCATTTGCCATCCCTAGAAACAAAAGGCTAAAACTGAGTCGAGTCAATCTGTGGAATAAATTAACACAATTTATTCCACATATTGACTTGAATCAGTTTTAGCCTTTCGTTTCTTTCTTTTTGGGACATCTTCTACAGGTGGAACAAAAGCTTTTTCTCTTTCTGCTTTCCGTTTTAGAGTATTTTCCTTTCGTTTTTCCTGTAATCATTAAGCGATTAATAAAAAAAAAGAAGAATAATAATAGTATATCTGAGAGTGTACATATTTACCTTTTTCTTCTCCATTTCACGAGCTGCCTTTGCTTTAGGTTTAAGGAAATATTCACCAGACTCCAATTGCAAATCAACCTTAAATTCGCAAGAAAAAATATGTCAGCCTATTGATTTGAAATAAAGTTTAAAATATAATAAGTTACCTTTCTCGGAGTTTGTGGAGGAGGAAATGGTGTATATTCTTTCTTCTTGATTTGTTTTTTAGGTCTTTTAACGTTTTGTTTTTTGAAATGAGGCAAGAATCTATCCCATGATTCATTTTTTAGCTTTGGATCTTTTGCGAGTTCTCTTTTAATCATTAATTCCTAATTGATAATACCAAGTTAGAATTCGGTTTATATGATAATAATAATAAATTCAATACTTACTTTAATGTGATATATAGGATGAACGTTCTTTAAACAATCAATTACTATTCTTCTTACTTCTTTCAAGCTTTTATATGAACCCATGGCAGATACAGTATTTCCTTGTACCATGACGTAGCACTGAGTCAATAGTTCTATAGCCTAAGGTTGAAGTAATATTTTAAATTAGTTTAAAGTTCATAATTGTTTATTTAATTGGAGAAGATTATACCTTTAGCGTTGAACCATTTGGTCCAATCAACCTTTGTCTACGTTTTACAAAACGTTCTTTGCTTCGAATCATATTTCCAATTTTGATAATATCACATGATACACCATCGTCAAGAATCTTAACTGCCTGATATATTCGTTAATTTCACATTGAAATAAAAAATCGTTTTTGTTTGCACATTCCGAGGAATACCTGAGGAAAAGGGACACTTCTTGCCAACAATTTTATCAGGTCACGTGCTTTGAGTATTATGTATGGATCAAATGTCTTTCTAGTTGTTTTTACGGTCATACTTCCTTCGACTAGATCTAATAGACATCCAATACCCTAGATTTTGGTCAGAGTGAAGTGTTGAGAATTCATAATTTGAAGCGTTAACAATGAATGTTGAAAATAAATACCACTTTCTCTAAAGCCTTCGTGACGTGCGGCCATACTTCTTTTAAATAATTTTCCCGATATTTTGGAAATAGGGTTGCAAAAGATGATTCTTCTGTAAAAGAGTACGGATTGTCCTCCCGGGTAAATGGATCAATTTTCCAATGATCTATATCCTCATTATCCCAAGCTAAATTTATTGTGATATATTTATTAGTTTATAACAATTTCGTCAAACAAATAGTGAATCAAGCAGGAAACCTATTTTTACGTTTATCTTTTCGGTATTTTTTTGATTTTGGCTTCGAGGAAGTTGCATCGGAAGGAGTATTAGTGTTATTCTCTTCGGCCATGGTAAAAGTTTGTTACCAAAGTTACTCAACTGAAATACGTAAATTTCAACTTCTTTATAATAGAAAAAGAAGCGTTTGGGTTAGGTTTTCTCCTATGAAACTTGCATCAAAAATCGTCACTCTTCACTTCACCGAGACAACCAACCCTTTAGCGTTAAATCAGAGATGTCTTGAGCACAGAGATCCAAAAGTTACGGGGGCCAAAAACTATCTCAATGAAGTGATATCCAGTTAACATCAAATTCAGGAATGCGTACTTCAGAATGATTCCGAGTAAAAATTTTCAAAAGTGTGGCTATCGATATAATCATCCAATTGGATGCTGAAATCAGTTATCAAGTAGTACACATAGTCGTGACCAATCATCCTAAAATGATTTTTTTTTTTCGTTTATTTCGAAACTAGAGAGGTTGCCTTCGCTCGAGATAAATAGTAAAATCACAGTAACCAGTGGATTTTACATTAAAAATTTAAATTTGATGTAATTTGTCACTAAAAACTAATAACTGTATACAGAGAGACCTCTCTAAGTGCACCCTCCATAAATGCATTCTCTATATAAAATTTCAAGTGCCTTATAATAATACTATATATTTTGCTCTCTATAAATGCACACCCTCTTTAAGTGCACATTTTTGAAATTTTTTACTATGGTCTCGAGGAGGGTGCATTTAGGGAGGTTTCTCTGTATACAGTTAACTCTTTCTATAACGAACTGAAAATTCTGGAAGAAAAAAACGTTCGTTATAGAAACTTACTATATTTTCTTAAGAACCCATGGCACTTTTTATTATGTCCAGAGTCGACTGTAATGGGCTAAATTACGATTTTTGTTTCATGGGAGGTCTATATAAGTATTTCGCGCAGCGCGATATGTGAGACATGAGTGTTGTAGAGTGAAAACCTGTAGCTGTATTTAATGATTTACTATGATCAGTTACGAGTTTTCACTCTGCAACACACATATACGCTGGGTTTATCTCGTGCAAAGCACATCTCTATTCGGAACCATTTTAGTGATATTAACCTCGCAAGTTATATGTATAAATTTGCGTTATATCTAACAGTTAATATAATACAATTTTATATAACTTCAAAGTTACAATGTATCCATGCTTCAATTGTAAGTATTTTATTTCTGACTAACAGATGCGTTTTTCAATGATGACATTTGAATATACCATTTGGTGATGTTTAAAAAACGAAGTGATCCACAACTAAAACATGCACTACCATCTGAGCAATTTTTAAAAATTTAAATTTCTATGCTACACAACACAAGAACTCATTGTGTAATTCTTGATTTATAGGCTCTTATTTGGCACTTTAATGGAAGGTATTTATCAAAGGAAAAATTTGTTCTGTCATAAATATTTACTGTTGTTTTTACATGATGACACCCATTATTACCAGTTCTGCTTCTGAGATTAATGAAAGATATGGAATTTTGTCTGATCTGTAAATTTATTTTATATTGTATTAATGTAAGGTTAGCTCTATTAATATCGTTTACTATCATTCCCTGTCTAGAATATTCAGAGAAATTACCGTAGCGTAAATAAAAATCATAAACACTAACTGGGATCTATGGTAAGAGTCTGAATTCCGTATTTTAATTGAGGAGTTGATATGATGTTTTTTGAAAAAATTCAATCCGTGTTTCAAATGAATTTATATCTTGATTATATATTGATCCTGATCTAGCGTTTAGCATTTAAATAATTGCTCCTTTATTATAGCAATCTCATTTATTTATTTTTTCTTAATCTTCAATTTTGTTTTCAGAAGTAGCAACAAGAGAATTTTAATATCATATCATTCTCCATAAGACTTATTTTTGGTCAAAAAATGTAAGTATTAATTCACATAAATTTGGTAATTTAACCGTATATTGAATGATGACACCTGTTATATCCATTCGATGATTGGGGCTACATTATGTGAAACGACCGAGGAATGCTTTTCTTGTCGAAGGTTCTCTTCGACAAAATTAGTTGACCCACCAGTTACTCATGATGGGATATTTGTTAGCACCATCCTACATTATCGCTGTGGGTTGGTGTTTCAAATATTTTATTGCTCCGCAAGATATGAACTAACTGCTGAATACTGGTTATAAAAATTTATCGTTTATGTATTTTCAAAGAAACTGATCACATTAATATTCTATTATACTTATATATTTCTCGTATTTGAAGTTTACCTTATCCATCTATAAAATGAAATCCAGCAAAGCATCATCTTAAATACTACCGATAAAGTTTGGCAGCGTATCCTATCCAGTGTTTAAAATTGGATTTTAAAATTTTATGTGGAATACATTTTATACTTAATAGGTGATTCTCCAATCAACTGAACAAAAATTTTTTTTTTATATATAAATTTTACTATAGGCCCGAAAATGGTGCGCTTCTACCTAAAACTTTTTTTACTAAAAAAAAAAGTTTTAGATAGAAGCGCGGGCCTATAGTAAATTTATATATAAAAAAAAAATTTTTGTTCAGTTGACTGGAGAATCACCTAACAAAAAAATTGCGGAATTAGTATATTAATTTTGGATTGCATTTTTTTTTTTTAACGCGAATTGGCGTACTTTATTTAATAGATTCTATAATTACAAGCAGTAGAATTTATCTATTTACAATTATGTATTAATATTTAAGAAGCTGACTAGTTTTTCTTTGTTTTCTTGCGTTTGTTTAAGACTTTTAAGACTTTTCTGAATTCTAAAATTTGTGATACTTCCGATTATATTTTCTGGTATATTGTTACTGCCCAACCTGGCTTGAGTATACCATAACTCATATATATTCGTAATATGGAGTCATATCGCTGTTATTTTTTTCTCTCGATTCTGGATATTCGAAGCTGTGAAAACCTCCTCTATTGTTAAAGGAGGGATTTCCTCTCCTGGGTTTTCAAAAAACCTATATCCTCTATCGAATTTCATTTTTTAATTAATAATATACTTGCGGAAAATAAAATTTTTATTTATTTTATTTCATTATATTTTAAATAATTAAATTTATTTTTTTCTAGGATGTTTTCACGCTTTTTAAAATCAAAATTTATCTAATGAATAACCATTCATTAAATAAGAATCAAATGTATTTATTCATCAAAATTATTAAGAATAGCATTTCTAATCCTCAACAGTTATAAAATTTGAATTAACTTTAAATATTCGTAGATTTACCCAATATTCAATCTACGGAATAAAAAAATATATGTGCGGAAAATCTACGAACCATTTTTTTTATGTTGCATATGTTTAAATAACAAATCTTGCGAAATAAATTTTTAATATGCGCTTCGCAGATTCGCATGCCGTCTTCTTAGGGTGTGAAATGGGTCCAACGGGCTTTTCAGACTTTTTTGGAATTTAATTTGGGCCACCTTTCAACACAATACATTATTATCGTTATGTGACTAGCATTTGAAAGGTGGCTCCAAAAAAAAGCCCGAAAAGCCCATTGGCCGGCTCATTTCACACCCTACGGCAGCGCTAAGGTTAAAATTACTTGTAATTCACTGTGAACTATCTTACTTTACAAAAAACATGAGGTACGTAATACATTTACCATTTACAAAAATTAAAAAAAAATTCTAATATATTATTTAAACCGATTATTTGACTGAAATTGTTCATTCTAAATTAACTTATGCTCAAAAATTTTATTAATAATTTTTTGTTTAAGCAAACAAAATATATTCGTATAGATAATTCACTACGTAGTCGAAGTAAAAAAAAGCGGGTTCTGTCTTATTTTAAACTAATATATACCCGATTGCTATTTAACGTTAAAATTAGTTATTAGTTAGCGCACAGAAATAATCGTTTGCCTTTGGTGCTACGCTAAAATTCTCTTTATAGAAATTTAGTGTTGCTTTTTTGCTCTTTTAAGAAATTATTTGGGAAATCAAGTTTCACAGATTAAGTTTCTTAGGAAATAGAAGGTTTCACGAAATTAAACCGATTGTATAACTATTACGTATTATTATTTCTTAGCGCATTAAGCTGCGCTGCTTAGACTATGCGCTCTGAGCTGTGATGCTCAGACTAGGCGTTCTAAGCTGCGCTGCTCAGACTATGCGCTCAAAATTTTCATTTCTCGAACAAGTGTTGAATCTATATCAAAAAAAACTTCTATCATTTGCTAAAAATAATCACCATGCAGTTACTAAAACAGGGATTTATTAACTAGGGTTCCTCAAAATCAAATCAAATCAAATATTAGGCTTATTTTAATTTGATTTAAAAATCTGGATTTGAATTTGATTTGATTTAAAAATCTTGATTTGAATTTGATTTAATTATTTGATTTTAAATCTTCAAATCAAATTAAAGTTTTGATTATTTAT